AGAATACATTCGTTCCCAGACATTTCACGTGTTTACACGTGTTACAATGTATCATTCTATCTGAACCTTTTATAAAGCGAACTGTTTATTTTAAACATCTTTAGCTCGCTCGTACAAGCTAAATGCTCTCACACTTTTCACTCGTACATGTATTACGCGTACGGGCGAAGCACTCGTGTGGCTAACAAGTTTAACCTCTGATGAACTTTTTTGCATTCGAAGGCTAGATTAATACTCTACTAGTCTGTCGAGTTCTTACAAGCGTAAATCGAAGAATGCAGAGTCTACGAGAAATAGAATGCTTTCTCCGTGGTCGGAAAGGAACGAACGTTTTACTTGAGAAATTTTTTCATCTGGATGCATGACTTTCCCTTTAATACTTCTTATGAATATAACGTGAAATTGTGAAATTACCATTAAAAAATATATGGCTTTCCTACTGCGGCAATTCTTCTGGCAGACCATATGCAAGAAATTCTATTCAAATCAGCAATAGGTAGGGTTGACGAGCTTTTGTGGCCTCGTGTTGGGTGATATTCTTTATGCTTCCTTCGTAACGTATTACCACCAGCAAGAAGGCAGTTTGAAATAAAACAGGTAGCAAAGTAATTAACAGCGAATGATTTAATTAACGTACAGTAGAGAGTCGATGGAAGGCTGAATCTTTACACTATAGAGGCCTAAATGACAAATTATAGAATCAATTATGTCAGCGATTTATTCCAATTTTTAATTAGGCACTCGAGGTCCAACAAAACGTTAACACGTCATTTATTTGAAGTATTAAAATCTTAATATGAACGAATTACTGTATGTATTCAAAATATTTGATATCACTATCCAACTCTACGCAACACGAAATGCCTATTGTTGAATTAGGATGGATGCCGGGTAAAAATTAAAACGTAAAAATTAAAAATAAAACTTTAAAAAAAAATTAAATAAAAATTAATGCCACAAAATGTGCTGTATTGTAGGCATAATTGTTGTTTAATTACAATTTTATTTAAATATATTTCTTTATTTATTAACTTGATATATTTATTTGTTCACTTTCGTTTATCCATCAAAATATCCGATGAGTTGTGTAAGTAATACATGATTCAAGATTTTAAAATTACCTTTTCAAAATATGTCTCAGTTCAATTTCATCGCTGGTGAGTGTGGTTTCGACGAAATAAACCGTTCTCACGAGTGAACATATATTCAAGAATAAATATAGAAATACTGATTTGAGTAATAGTAAAAGTAACGAGGATATTAATGATCGAATGATCACGGATCCAAGACGTCAAACTTCATACGTAAGAATATTTAAAAATTTATCACTAAAAATCCAATATTAATTATTAAATAATTACGGATCCAAGATGTCACCCTTCATATACAAGAATATTTTAAAATTTATCACTAAAAATCCAATATTTATGATTAAATAATCACGGATCTAAGATGTCAGACTTTATAGGCAAGAATATTTAAAAATTTATCACTGAAAATCCAATATTAATAATTAAATAATCACGAATTCAAGACGTCAGACTTTATAGGCAAGAATATTTAAATATTTATCACTGAAAATCCAATTACTTTGATATTTTAAATTAAAAAATGGCTATAAAATATCTTCCAAGATTTGATCGGGTAGTGAATTATAACAACTTCTACGCGCATCGTAACCTATTATTGTCATCTATTTTAACCCTATCGAACCAAGATAATCTCCGTGAATTAATCAACCTACCATTACACGCGTCGCAAAGCTCCTTCAGGAATAAATCAACCTGACAAACCGCGTAATCAGAACATAAAAGAAAAGCTGGAACAGATATTAACTGGAGACCATTCCGATCGTCCACTGTTCTATCTTTCATCGGCTGTGCCGCGAGCGTTTTCCAGGGACCAGTTTCGACGCTGATTCTCGCGCAATCTCGTTCCGGAATGGCAGGTCACATTAAAGTTGAAAGGTAACGGGCAAGGGATCCGGCCGCGAGAGCAGGAAGAAGAAACGGAATACGAAGCGGAGGAAGGAAAATAAAGGATCGGGAATAAGCGTGTACGTCGGATTTTAAGAAACCGTGACAAGACTCAAGACGTCCATCTGACTGACATTTAGCAAAAGCGTGAAACAGTGGAGTTAATGGTGTCGGGTCGGTGACGAGAGGGATAGAGGACAACCGGCAGTTGGGGGTGGAAGCGAGGAGAAAGAGGGTCAGGGAATGGATGTGTTCACATTATACCCTCTGTTCTTTTAATTTCTTCAAAGGGCTCCTCTCCCGCGACACCTTCCTCCTTGCTGGCTCCCGAATTAATAAGGCGTCGACGATGTGACGTCTTTTTTCTTTTCACCCCTGGACGGGACAGCAGACAGCTACCAAAGTGAATGAGAACTCTCGCTGAGAGGATAACGGAGGGAGAGAGCACTCTCTTACTGGTACTTAACAGCGGGATGAGATGAGCTGCCGTTAATAAATGTGTTTCTAACTGCAAGAGAGAGAGGGATCGGGGGTGGACCGACTGCTCTCTCTGTCTGTCTTTGCTTCTTTCTTCCTTGCTCGCGTTGTGTGCTCCCGAGGTCTCGAGAGAATAAGTCTTAATGAGAAGAAAACTTTTAAACGCACTAGACTCTCTCCTCGTTTCCTTGATGCCACGCTTAGCTTAGCTTCGCACTTTTACCCCCCGCAAATCAAACACGCCGGAAGGGAGACGTTAACGTGACCGATTTGATTGAAAAACGATTTTATTACTCGGGTCATTTTGTTGGCTGATTGGGGAGGTCACTAGATGCTGCGAGTGGGAACAATTTCCTTTCAGATCGAATACTCCGGTCTCTGCAACTGGGAATCTTCTATTTGCTATAGTCTGAGATTCTGGAACTAGGAATCTTTGATTCGCGAAACCTTGGGATTTTGAAACTGAGAGGGTTTATCCGTAAAAGTTTGGGACTTTGGAACTAGGAATCTTTGATTTATGAAACCTTCAGGTTTTGTAACAGGGAGTCGTTGATTCATGAAAGTCTAAGACTTTGGAATTGAGAGTGTTTGATCCGTGAAAGTCTAAGACTTTGGAATTGAGAGTCTTTGATTTGTGAAAATCTGAGATTTCAGAACTAGGAATCTTTGATGTATGAAATCTTAGGACTTTGAAGCTGTGACTATTTGATCCGTGAAAGTCTCAGACTTTGGAACTAAGAATCTTTGATTTGTGAAATTTTAGATCTTTAGGCTGAGAGTCTTTGATTCGTGAAAATCTGAGACTTCGGAACTAGAAATCTTTAATGTCTAATAAAGCATATTGTGTAATTGCAGAGATTATATAGTAGAAATAAATTATGTTAAATATGAAATATTTCTTTCTTAATAAAAGTGGACAGAGAATTTAGTAATTTTAATGAGGTCAAAGCCCAATATTTTTCTATTCGCCAAATTTAGATATTCCCTTTGATTGCTGTATATAATATCCAATTATTCGGAATAAATGTTCATTTTTTAATTTCACCAAACACAATGCAACCACTGCGTCAATTTCCAAAAATCTAATATATTTCGATGTAATTGATAACTGTGTAAATATTAAAATAAATACATAAGTATTTCTGCGCAAGGATTTGAACTATTTTGAGCTATGCCAAAAAGCCATAATTCAACAAACTATCGAAGCCTCTCAGACAAACACACCCATAACTCGTCTCTTTCCAATCTCTCCGATACCTCGACAATACTCCACCTTCCAAGAAAAAGAAAAAAATTATTTCACATTACTTTTCATCCCCACGAAATCCTTTCTCAACGTCACCCTAGCCCTAACGTCGCTGTTTATTAATTCCCATCGCTGCCTTCGGAATACCAGCGAACGAAGGAGAAGTACATTCGATACCATCGGGTCTCGTTCATCGTCTTGGCAAAAACTACCCTCGGGTAAAAAAATAATTGCCCCTTGATACGCGCCGATACCCCACCTGCGGGGATGCCGGGCCTGTAATGATGTTCGCGTTCGCGAACTTAGTTCGAAATTAAATATCGAGGCGAAAGAGGGTGGCTGGGACCGCGGCAGGGGGATGTTAAAGAGAAATCCCGACAGTGAGGGCGGAAGAAGGGGGAAGGAGGCTTGTTGTGCACCTGCCCTTTTCCCGGACCGCCGTGATAAAAATCAAACTGGAAAACAAACGAGGAGCAGGATCGTATTATAAAGTTTATTAATCGATAGACGATGCACGGCGAGGGTGAAAGTGGAATTTCAGGGGCCGCCGGAAATATCTCGTTACGCTCGAAAATTAAAATTGTAATACCGCCGGAGATACAAACGATGAAACTTTTATCTAATTCTACTTATCGTTTATCGGTCTTCTGATGTTTTTATTTTTTTATTATTTTTTCAGTTCGCGATAGTAATGGGAGATTGTTTGTGAAACGTGTATATATAGGTATGTGCGGAAATATACAGGGTGGTTGTTTCGATTGGAAATGAAATTTTCTCGTGAGAGAGTAAAAGTATGCGAAGGATATTTTTATAAAAGTTTCTCGATCCAGTGGAAGATGTTATGGGGAAAATTTTAAGCTCGAGTTAGATCTTTGTGAATGAATATGGGTGAATATCGAAGTCTTTTTGATTATTATATTCAGAATATCTTTCTTTATAAAAAGGAATGGAGTTTGGTTATATGCAATAAAATTTGTAATTTTTGCAAGATATTTCTTTTGATACGTTCATAGTTTCTTAAAATTTCTCATCCCCATTGGTCCCGTCTGTAGATTGTTAATCTTTTCGTATAGAATTTTTTATTTTAAGTAAATATTTATTTTATAATAGATTATTATAGTAGATTGGTAAATTTATACTAGTTTATTTTATTTTATAGTATTTTAAATAAAATGATATTACTATAATTAGACATACGAAGAATAATACGAATTGGTCCTATTGATATTTATTATCGTTCTATAAACTATAGGATAGATTTAACGATGTATATTGTAAATTATGTTTTTTTGTCCTTTCAGAAACTCCAACCTACCGATTCTCCAATCTTCGAAATAAAAAATCTGTTAATTAACGAGACTGGCACGCAACTAGTATTATGGGGTAATCTAGGTCTAATAATCATGGAACTTCCCAAACGTTGGGGCAAGGATAGCATGTTTCAAGGTGGAAAGGAAGAGATACTCTGCGTGTAAGTTGCATTGAAATTTGAATTATTAATAAACGTCTCCGAAAGCTGAAGAAATCATTTTATAGCTAATCTTTTAGAATTCTTAAACTTTTATAAGCATTCTCAAGAAAATTCTTGAATATTTGTTGAAAGATTTGTTGCCACTAAATCTTTCATACTCCTGAATGATGTATGCTACTCAGAGATGTATGGTAAATATGAGTTAAAAGAATTTTAATTGAACATATGTCGTAAATGATATAATACGAGAATCCACATGTCATCATTTTTAAATTATTGAAATTTACATATATTTTTACACATAATTTTTATACTTACATAAATTTATATATACTTATCCTTGAAGTAGAAGATATGTACTATAACTCGTACATCTTTATTACTAAAATGGTAGGTCGGTTATTTTGTTATTAAAAAGTTATGGTATTCCATAATTAATAAATAGAAAAAATCTAAAAATCTTCAGTAGGTACAGTTTTCGTTGCATGGTTGTTCTATGCCAAAAAATGATCTCTATCTAGGGTGCAACAAAAATGACACAATATATTATATATTTCTATAAAAAAATAAACAGTAATTACAAATGCACTGCAAAATAATTCCAAACAATATTTATTTCATTGACACAAAACACGTAATGAATAATACCTAAATTTTGTTAAATAAATTTCGTCGCATAGTCCTTATACTTACGTATTGTATCAAATTAGTATATAATGATTTGATTACTATTTTCTACCATTTTCAAAATCATTTTTTCATTAATCGACAGCACCCCATATACCCAACAACATACATATCCAAGAACTGCATCCCCATGTGAAGCTCATTCATTCTCCAAATAAGATCATAATACAGCAATTACGTACTATTCGTCAGACGACGAGGACACATCAATTAGTCGTTAACCCTATGTGCTACAATCTATCCTAAACCTTTGTACTTCTCGAAGGGTCGCACGAAATCCACTCCCAGTCCAACCCAACTGCACGGTACACGGATAGACAGTAGCCCAAGAACGTTCCTATCTGTTCGTTGATCGCAAAGAAGAAAAGAATCCCCTTAGTCAACACGCAGAATCAATCTGAGCGAGCGGGAAGGAAAGTTTACAGACCAAGAAATCCGGCTCCTAAAAAGCGAGATAAGGTAGACCGCGAATAATAAATCGCACTATCTGGCTTCCTGCACCTCCGTGGCTCCTGTGGGCGTCCTAATATCCTGTAATTAAGAGGGTGTTACGATGACGCCCGAACCCCTTTGGCCTCCCTCTTATGGAATTAAGGTGGCTTTACTCGGTTAGTTTTCAAAAGTTCCAGGCCCGGAAAGCACCGCTGAATACTAACCGCCTCATCAACGACACATGCCACCGAGACTACTGCCTCGTGTAACATTACCCTCCGCGCCGCCTCTGTCACAGCATCTCCTCGTTCTCCTGTCTAATCTTTCGGGTGATTAGAACCTCGCGCAATTAGCCGCGCGGTTGGAGATTATGCCTCGTGTTCTACCGGCTCTTCCTTTTTTCCTTTCCCCTTTTTTTCCTGATACCGCTTGCCGAATCGAATTCCTACGGTCGATGGCGAAGATGCGGGTCTCGCTGCTGGGTGTCACTCGTTACTGGTTACTCGGTGTTCCAAAGTTTAGGATGAGAGTGACAGTAGATCAGTAGTGACTAATCAGTAGATCGTGGGTGCCATGGGAATATGTACTATGAAAGTGTAAGCTTATTTCAGATCTTGTTTTGAACGTTTTGAATATTGCATATGATTCGCTTGCCGAAATTTCTCGTGGATTTTTGACCAATTTACATGTTTCGAAATGTCACTAATTTTTTACGATATATCCAAGTCCCTCATTTCTTTATAATTTATAATCTGAAAAGGAGGAAGTATAGGATGTTCCAAAATTCACGCAAGATGTAGTTTTGATAGAAAACACAGATTTTTAAATAAAAATTGTAAATTTTTTTAATCGATTCATAAAGTGTACAGTATAGGGTTATGCATGAAATAGCACATCGGGTAATTCGAATCTTGCGTGAATTTTGGGATACCTCAAAGAAATGAGGAACTTGGATATATCGTCAGAAATTAGTGATATTTTGAATATAATTTGGTCAAAAATCCACGAGGAATTTCGACATAGTTTTATTGCAAATGTAAATTGTATTGCAAGTAAAGAGATCGTAAATTCGGAGAAAAAATTATCGCGATATATAACACTTGTTGCGTCGCAAATGACACGAGGGGTTGAGATTCAACCCTTTCAATACGCTCGCCAGTCTTCTTTCGCAAAGAATGGAAATCTACATGACTATAATATTGAATATTATATTAAACTCACTCCTAAACACTTCTAAAATTTCTGACTTCCGAACATAAATATATACTAAAGCTTATCACTCATAAATATTCATATTAGTAACCACATATTTGTGCAATTCACGATCCAATGTGATTAACTTGGCTTTCTAAATTTAAACAAATTTTAGTGCAATATATAATTGATTGACTCTCAACCTTTTAATAAAAAGTTAATAAAAGAATTCATGAAAGTCGAATAATTAACGAATCCTAGTAAATATATATTTTTAATACAAATATAACATATAATATATAACATATATAACATATGTATATATAATAATATATTAAAAAAAGGATCAAATTGTGTTTACGTAAAAATATGGAGAATCTCTATAACAACGTAACTTCTTCGACTATCTGATTGATCACGATTTTCTTCAATTACTTTGTTCAACCCGCAAATGAGGATACCAAAAAATAACTTTGACACAGTGTACTTATTTAATACTTCTGCCAACATCTACCGATATTACCCATCGCATTAATTCTTAAATATCACTTGCTAACAGGCGAAAGATGCAGACGAGCGAGAGGAAAAGGTATCGCAAGGGGACGAGCGGAAAGAAAATTGAAACTAATTTGAATTACGATGAACGACGATGCTACTTAATTCAGCGGGGTAAAAGGGTAGCCGTTCGCTCCAAGTTGTCTTTTGCATTATAATTTCATAATAAGTCCAGTCCGGAATAAATGCATTACCTTCCTGCCGACTTTCCGCTAATTCATAATTCCGAAGTTTTTCCGGAAACGAACGAAACGTTTAGCTCCATGAACCGCGGGGCCAAGCTGAACAAACTGGTCAAATTAAGAGCGGCAGTTTATGCTAAAGTTTTTTCGTTATTTCACTTAAGCGATTCTACCTTGCTCCCAGGCCAGGCCGTGCGCCGAGGATCGAGGGAATTTATAAGAACGCACGCGTAACCCCCGTTAAATGTATGGCGCAAAAGAGCCGCGGAACAGTTTGTAAGAGAGTCGCGGCCATTAGAACGAATCTCGGGGATTTAATGTCTCCTTCCTTCCAACCGGCTTAAACAGAGCTAAATGGAGTTTATGCATTATTGCCCGTGAAACTTCTAGCACCGCGGACAGATATTTGCTCCCAAAGAACTGAAAGTTTAGACGTCGCCCGACTCTCCACTTCTGCCTTGGACGAATCGTGATCGCGTTAAGATCGTATCTGATCCACCGTTTCAGACTTTTGCTTTATCAAATGTATATGTACGTGACGTGGTTCGCAAGTGTTCAAGGACGTAAATTTGGATAAATATATAGGACTACTTAGGGGGGGCTGTTAATCCTTGAAATACCGTTTCCGGTATTTCGTTCATTTTTTCATTTATAACTCCTACCTTTATACCTCAAACTCGGAAACTCCAACTGTTACGTCCTAGAAAGCGGGTTCATAGCATAACTCTTCCTTTAATTTTCGATAATTCTAAAGACTTTATTATTTTGTATTACGATTGCTACGCCGAAGGTTAGGTCATATATCTAAATGTGAAAGTTCTGAAAATTTACAAGTACCAGACCCGACAGATTGGACCCACTTGTATCACGTCATTGATCATCGAAAATCAGCTCCTTGACAGTTTCCTATTCCTTAGCCCAAAGGTCCTTCCGTCACACCCTCTGTCCAATCAAAAATCTTTACTTTCCCGCCACTAATATTTATCCTAACCAATCAGAACTAAACTGGAGAAGACATCAGACAGGACACGACGAGACACAACACAGTCCCCTTACTATTTCGAAACTAAACAGAACTTCCTCATAGAACCCTCCGTCACTAATCGTCGTCAAGTAAGAACGACCTAATGACGATATACGTAAGGTGAAAATATAGTAACAGTTAATTTATAATAATTAATAGTTGTTGCGTTCCGAACACTGCAACCCTCGCGGTGAGAATTTCGCGGGGTTCTAAGGTCCGTTTACGCGGATGGAGACCCGTTTAATGTTGCTGGGATACGACCTACTCTAAATTAATAGAGCTAGTCCTAGTTAGGAGTGAACTAAAGAATTCTGATAGTGACTGTCTCATGCGCTGAGTTGATCGTCCTGGGTCTGTCTTGACAGTCTGGTCGTGATACTTATTTTGTCTTCTTGAGATTTTCTGGAGAAATCCCGTGACTGCTGTCTCGGTGGTTTTATGAGTTTTGTATATCTACTGATTGGTTGGTGTGAAATGTAAGTGGTGCTTGTATGTCTTCCTATTGGTTGTGAATAATATTGGGAGTGTATGTTAGCTTCGACGTCTTTCGGTGGTAGTGGATGTTTAAATAATTTGGGTCCTTATGCCTATCGTCTTAAGGGTGATTTATTGACGCTTGATAAGGTTGAGTGATCAGGTGATAACGATATATTTCAACGTATAGAACATGCTGAATAAAATTAGTCATTTACATATTAAGAATATATTAAAACTAATATACTAAGTACTATGCGTTGTACAAAAGAAGTTCGTTGTTTCAATGCAGGTGCAAGCCTAACATGCACGTTCATAGTCCCCACTCTTTTGTGACACTACAGAAACCACTACTTACCTTCTGGTTTGGTAACGTTATAAGTTAACATTGGCGTTAGATATCCGTAAAATTCCTATATTTCTATATTCCTAATTCCTATAATAATTTCTAA